AGATCTAACATCACTACTTTTCAAACTCTTTAATGAAATTGAACAGGAAGCAATACTTCCAAATTCATGCCTGGAAGTAAGCATTACTCTGATATCAAAATCTGAGAAGGACTCAACTACAAAAACTAGAATTATAGGCCAATCTCCCTAATAAACACTGATGCAAATATCCTCAAAAAGATATTGGCAAACAGACTGCAACAAATTGTTGAGAAGATTGTATACCATGATCAAGTGGGATTTATCCCAGGGATACAGGATGGTTCAACATACATAAATCCATACATGGAATACACCATTATTAACAGAGCCAAGGACAAAAAACATCTGATCATCTCAACAGATACAGAAAAAGCTTCTGACAAAGTCCAGCACCCATTCATGAGAAAGACACTACAAAAAATTGTGATAGTCTTTATCCCAATCTGATTAAAAACCATCTATGATAAGCTAACAGCCACTATCATACTAAATGGACAAAAACTGAAAGCTTTCACTCTAAAATCAGGAACAAGACAAGGAGATAACCACTTTCTTCACTTTTACTCAACATAATCCTGGAAACTTTAGGTGGAGCAATTAGATAAAAGAAATAAAAGGAATAAAGATAGGAAAGGAAGAAGTTAAACTATCATTATTTGCAGATGATATGATACTCTACACTTAGAAGACCCCAAAAACTTCATCAAAAGACTTCTAGATTTAATAAGCAAATTTGGTGATATAGCTGATTACAAAGAAAGTCTACTATCAAGAAATCAAGCAATAAAAAATGCTTTAGGCGCTTTTGGGAAAAAAGAACCTTTCTCCACTGTTGGTGAGAATGCAGACTGGTGCAACCACTGTGTAAATCAGTATGAAGATTCTTAAAAAAACTAGGAGTAGAATCCCCTTCAATTCCCCTTCTGGGTATCTTCCCCAAAGAATTAAAAACATCATACCACAGTGATATATGTGTACCCATGTTTGCAGCAGCACAATTTGTAATAGTCAGATCTTTGAAACAACCTAAATGCCTATCGGTTGAGGAATGAATAAAAAAGATGTGATAGTTTTATACAATGGAGTACTCTAGGCCATAAAAAGGGATAGTGTGGACACTTTTAAATGGATGCAACATGAGAATGTATTCATAAGTGAAATAAATAAGATACTGTAAACATCATATTGTTAGTGTGAGAAGCTGAATGAAACAACATATGTATATATGTGTGTGTGTGTGTATATATATATATATATATATATATATATGAAAGTAGTTAAGATATTTATACTACTGATTTCTCTGAATTTGCTGAAGAGAAGGATTTATGCTGGCATTATTCAGATGATTGAATGCAGCTGTCTTGTGCTTTGGGTGAATGATTGAGGATGACAATGCACAATGTATGTACTACTATTGCCCCCGGTAGACATGTTTTGAAATTCTGTTGTACTTTTGATATTTCTTTTTCTCTCTTTTTATTCTTGAAATAAAATGGATTTGGAAAAAATAAGTGAAACACATTTACATTCATGTTCATAAAAAAGAAAGCAAGCAAGCAAATAAGCAAACTCATCAAACTAGGTATGGAAGGAACCTACAAATCCAATGAAGGTCACTGTGAAAGACCCATAGTTAAGATTGTACTCAATGATAAAAATCTGAAAACTGTCCTCTAAGATGAGAAATAAAAGCAGTCATACCCACTCATTCTTGCGATTTCTATTCAACAAAGTAGCAGAATTCACAGAAAAATTGGACAAAAGAAGAAATAAAATGAAATTAGAAATTAGGCACTGAAATTAGAAATAAAGCAAAATAATCTGTTTTCAAATGACATCTCATATGTTAAAAAATAACTCAGACTACAAAAATCATTTAAAATTCAAGAGTAGGGGCTGGGGATTTAGCTCAGCGGCATAAGCGCCTGCCTTGCAAGCAGGCAGTCGTGAGTTCGATGCCTGGTACTGATAAAAAAGAAAAAGACAAAATAAATAAATAAAATTCAAGAGTTTTCTGTATAGGAATAATAGACTAGCTGAGAAAATTAGGGAAACTATACCATTCACAATAGCTTCAAAGAAATAAAATATCTAGGGATCAGTCTAACAAGGAAGTGAGAAAACTCTACTATGAAACTCTCAGAAAATTAAAGATTGACACTGAAGAAAACAGTAGAGAATAGGAAGACAGCCCACATTCCTTGGCAGTGTTGTTAAAATAGCCATATTACCAAAAGTAATCTACAGATTCAGTGCAATTCCCCATCACAATACAAATGATATTCTTCACAAAACTAAGCGAGAAAAAAAACAAAAGCAAAAACAAATCCCTAAATTTATATGCAAATACAAAAGACCCAGAGTAGCAAAAGCAATCCACAGCAAAATATAGCAAGGCTGGTGGGTTAAAATATTCAACTTCAGGGCTGGGGATTTAGCTCAGCAGCATAAGCGCCTGCCTTGCAAGCAGGCAGTCGTGAGTTCGATCCCTGGTACCCATAAAAAGGAAAAAGACAAAAAAAAAAAAAAAATAGTAAGAAAATATTCAACTTCAAATTATACTACAAAGACATAGTAACAAAAAAAGATGGCACTAGCACAAAAATACACAGGAAGAACAATATTACATAATAGAGGACACTGAAACCAACCCATGGAACTACAACCATTTGATTCTAGACAAAGGAGCCAAAAATATACACTGGCTAAAAGACAACCTCTTTAACAAATGGTACTGAGAAAATTGGATACCCACTTGCAGAAGACTGAAACAAGACCCCTATGACTCACTCTGTAAAAAAAAAAAAAAAAAAAAAAAAAACCAATTCAAATGGATCACAGATCTAGGTATAAGACTTGAAATTTCAAAACTGCTCAAAGAGGAAACACCTGAAGCTATAGGCAGAGGAAAAGACTTCCTCAAAAAGATTCTAACAACATGGAAGTACAGCAAGAATGAACGAATCAGATTGCATCAAATTAAAAAGTTTCTGATAAGGGAAACAACCAGCAAGAAGAGTGAAGAGGCAGCCTACAGACTTGTGAGAAAATTTTTGCAGCTATTCATCCAACAGAGGATTAATATCTAGAACATATAAAGAACTAAAAGAACAGGAAAGAAGCAAATAGACTTATCAACAAATCGTTAAGTAAATTGAGCAGACACTTCTCAAAAGTACAAATGGCCAGTAAATATATGAAAAAAATATTCAACAGATTTTGGTCATGTTGAAAATGGAAATCAAAACTACACTGAGATTCTATCACATCCTAATAAGAATAGCTATAATCAAGAATGCACAAAACAGTAAGTGTTGGCGATGACATTGAGGAAAAAATAATCCTTCTATACTGTTGGTAGGAAAGTAAATTATCTCAACTGTGATGAGGTTTACATAAATCTACAAATGAAATCAAACTACAGAGAGACATGACATATACACACAGCACTCACACACACATGCAGCATTCATATACAAAGGATGGATATAAAAAGTGATGAAAAGTGCTAAGTGATAAGATTTACTAAACAATAGAAGTTTTATAATCAGCAGAATTACAAGTAGTTTTACAATTAGTAGTAGTACAATTAGTAGAATTGTACCCATTTCATGGTTTTGATATTGTACTACAATTACGTTAAGTTTCACCACTGGGAATGGCTGGTAAAAATTTCGTAAGACATCCTATGCATCTGTAATTACTTTAAATTGTCCTTAAAAAGCCAAGCAAAGCAAGTAGCATGGTTTATGTCTGTGGCCCCCAGGCCTCATGAGTTTGCACTATGTATTTGTGGTTGGTTCATTGTCTAGTGCTTGGATTGATGGTGTCAGTGCTACAGCCACATAAGGGTGGAGCCAGGATGTGATGTAATGGCAGGAAGAAGGTGTGTCTTGCTCTTTTGCCGGTTTCTGCCTCGCCGTCTGCAGCCGCCATGAACTGCAGCCCAGCCATGCCTGCCTGCCTTGGAGCCAACTGAGTATGGACTGAAACCTCCAAAAACTGTAAGAAAGAAACCTTTCTTTCCCAACTTGGTGCATCAGGTATTTTGTCTCAGCGACGAGTAAAAAGTAACCAAGACAGCAAGTATGAAAATGCATCAATAAAAAAATCTAGGCATAATAATGACTATGCAAATTTTTATTACTGCGACCTTGTATTAGATAATGGGGAAATGGAGAGAGGGAAGGAGAGGGAGAAGAAGAGAGATATAATCTGCTCAAATAAAAGAAATCTCAAACCAGGTATGGTGTCATATTCCTGTAATATCACTACTCTGGGAGACAGACAGGAGGTTTTCAATTTTGAACCCAACTCAGGGAACTTAGAACTCAGAGACCCTATTCTCAATGATTTTAAAAGAGGTGATTTTACATTTTACACAGGGTGTAAAAGCCCTGTGTTCAATCTTTAGTACCATTAACATGCATTACTTACACACACACAAAAACATGAAAGAATGGAGAAATCCAATATATAATTGCTATATCAAAAATATAAATAAATTAAAAAATAACAAACAACAAAAAGCAAAACTCAGACTATAAAGGACAAAGGCTATGCTATGATGTCTGGAGCTAATTCTACATTTTAAAAAAAATACACAAATCAAAAAGTATTTAAAGCAACAAAACTACTTAATCTAATCATTACCTATATGTCACAATAATAGCATAATACATAACTGGTTATATGGGTAAGAATAGAGAACACAAATATTAGCAGCAGTCGGATACATGCTAAAATATTTTGGGGAATGATAAGAGTAAGACACTAGAAAAAACAAAAAGAAAAAAGATAGAACAAATTTCAAAAACATAATTTTAAAGAGGGAGAGCAAACAGCTTCAAGAATGCCTTACGTTCAAATATATTAATACACATTGATATGTATGTAGCATGAAAGTGAATTCTGTACTTGTAAATAAAGGAAATATTTTATCTTAAATTAGCCATTTCCTTTAAGATTACCATTTAAGAGAGAGATATTAATTATAGAAGACTAGAAATTCTTACCTCTTGTCTCTTCTTAAGATCTTCTTTGGCTGCTCCAAAACGTTTGGTTAACCTGGCTATCTTGGCCTAAAAGGAAACCAAAGTGAAAAACGGAAATCAAGTGTCAATTTGGCATTAAAAACAATACATGTATACATGACAAAAAACTCACAAAAAGGGGATCCCTCAGAAGACAATGAAGAACAAAGAAAATAAGGCAAATTGGTCATAAAATATGTATTTGGAAAATATAGAAAATCGTATCAAAACTATAGTAACACCTGAATTAAATGATCAGATAAAAATACTTAGATTTCTTTTTCACTCCCCAAACTGTAAATAGTTGCTCAACACCAGTACATTTCCAAGTAAGCAATCCTGTTTCATTATTTTTTTCAAAATGGCTATAATCATACTTAATTTTCTTACCATTAATTACACAGTGTAAGTCATAGGATATCTTGCCAAAACTATGTGGGATATATGAGTAATATATAGAATCATTTATACAGTTTTTTTCCAGAAAGGGTGAATGTTTCTTAGTGTCCTGCTGTTGTCAACACTGCAAAGTCTTTATTAATTAACACTTTCAAAAGTATTGTAGATGCAGGCTCAGATATTAATTAATCTTTGAAACAATTTCATATCCTATAAATATTTAACAATTTGAAATTATCCTTTAATATTAAAATTTGTCAATGAAATTACTGTGCTTGCTTATATATGCTGCCTGATTACCTTATTTGCCCAAATATATATCCAAAAGAAATGGGCAAAAGGGCAGAAAAATGACAGAAAGAAAAAAGATAATATCACTATGTGTATATTCAGTAGCATTTCTAAAAAATTTCGGCCTTTTACTAAAGCATAGATGACACATTTGCAAGATTAAAATAAACTGAATGTGTCCGTAGGGCTTGCCTATGGAAGAAGTCCTTCAAAGAATCTCTTCTATGTCCTTAAAGCCCTTTATGTTATGAAAATGAGAAATGGTTGGACATGATGGCATATACCTATCGCCCTACCACTCAGGAGACCTAAAGCTAGAAAATGGGAGTCTGAGGCCAAACTGAGCTAAACAGTGAATTCAAGGTTGGCCTGGGATACATAGCAAGACAACAAACTGGGAAATAAAACTACTATTTTTTTTTTTTTATCCTATGGAGCGTCACAGTTGGGCCTGCTTTATAAAATGAAGACCAATTTTTCTCTGTCTTTGTAGCAGTTCACTGTATGAGACATGAATTACCTATTCTTCAAAGATTTGTCAGAATGTTCTGGCAAAGCCTTTTAGCCCAATAACTTCTTCAAAAATAGATGTTTGATTACCATTTTTATAAAAGTTACTCAAAATTCTAGGTTTTCTATTTCCTTTTTAAGATATAATAGATACACGGATACAAGGCTGTAGTATAAAAACATTCTCTTAAAGGCTCTCCTCTGGACTTTTACTTTCTCTAAAACTTGGCTAGTTTATTTATATTTAATTCTTTTCTTATTTGAGGTTTGGTTTTTTATTGTTATTTTGTTCTTAGCACTGAACATACAGTGGATTATTATGTTTTCTGTTTTTTAAAATTTAAGATTATAAATTTCTCATTGATTTTTGTTTTAACATACCGATTTTTTGTCCTTGTTTTTTAAGCCATAGTGCTACTACATAGTCCAGGCTGGCCTTGAACTTACCAGGTAGCCCAATTCGGCCTAGAACTCAAAATGATCGATTCTCTTGGCTCAGCCTCCTGCTAACTTAAGACCACAGTTGTATGCAACCATGCCTGGCTCACCCACCTCTTCTTTACAGCTGTTTCAATATATCCTCCAACTATAAAAATAACTTCAAAGAGTCTCACTGCCTATTTTTCAACTACAGACATTTACCTTATCTCTCTCTGCTTACTGACTTACCACCTTCCTCTCCTCCTTTCCCTTTCCCTTTCCCTTCCTTTCACTCTCTTGAGGGACCACAAATTCACAATGACTGGTTTTGCATATTTCCCTGTGGGATAAAAGGAAGGATTGGGATTGTTGATACCACCCATCTGAGATTTCCCATTGACCTTTCCAAGCATAAGATCATCTATACTTCTTAAGTCATTTTAGGATTACACTCAAAGACAAGGTACTTCTAAGCATAAGATCATCTACACTTTATTAAATCATCATTGGTTTATACTCAGGGTCAAGATACTTCAAACATAAAATACCTACGCTCTATGGAGTCAGAGTCTTTGGATGAGTTGTAATCCTTTTGCTAGTTCCACCTCTGACTGGACACTGAGAATAAATAGTGGCTGCTTTGGGATTACGGGGTTCGTCGGTTTCAGGGACATTGACTTCCCAGCCATTGTTAAAATATGATACTTGTCTCTTTTCTGTTTTTCTTGTTGCATTCTGGAGAAAGGTGATCAGGATTCTTGGCAAGATTCCCAATACTGACTATTAGGATTCTTCACTGAGTTCCTGATATTGACAATGGGGACTCTTGGCCAGGCTGTAACAGTATGGTCTAGTCTGGGCTTGGCTAGGTTAGTCTGTAAGGGGCTTTGATAAAAGGGAAAAACTTATCAAACAAGTTTTAACATCAACGATGATACATGGTTAGATTTGTGGATGCTGTTAAAACCACTGGGAATCCTCTTCCTAAAACATAGTGACTGACTTCAACTCAATCAAACTGAATACGGTGAAGTGACAGTATCTCTTGACAAACAGAGCCAAGATCACTTCACTGGAAAAAAGAACCTAACTACCCAGAACTTCATACCAACAATGTCTCTTTGCATTGCACATGACCTCAAACCTCAGCACCAAAAAATGAACATGAAAAAAACAAGGCAACAAAAGACCCTCATCCTTCCAAAAGTAGATTCAAAGGGCAACAATGAAGAGAAAAATCGAACACCAAACTGCTGAACTCTACAAAATGACTAAAGAAGAAGTAAAGAAACTTGCCAAGCTCAAAAATGACAAAACCAAACAAATGGTGGAATTAACAAACTGATAAATGTGTTTAAAAAAAGAATCAAAAGTTAAAAGAGCTGATTAAAACCATTCAAATAATGAACGATAACTTTACCCCAAAAACACGTCCCATCAAAAGATGCCAAACAAAAATCCTGAATATAAAAACTATAAAGAAAATATGAAAAGCAGAAGCAACCAATGGAAAAAGAGTGTTAGACTTTGAGGACACAATGGGAGCACAAGATAACATACTCAAGAGATATCTTAAACAAGACAGCAAAGAAAATAAAACTGATCCAATAGCTACTAAATGATAAGACTAAGTTAAGGTTAAAGATAAAGAGTCACTATCAGAAATATAATGCAATGATAGGAATAAATAATAACCTTCAATGTGAAGGATCTTAACTCACCAATCAAAAGGCACTTATTGGCAGAACGGATCAAACAAAACCCAACAGTATACTTAAGGAGCACATTTAATCAAAAAGAAATTCATAGACTAAAAAATCAAAGGACGGAAAAATAATAGTGATTATCCTATTCTCAGTCCAAGTGCGCTTCAGGACAAATCTGATCCAAGAGGCAAAGAAGGTCACTACATATTTGTTAAAGGAAGAATTCAAAAGAGGTAAGAATTATAAAAATATATGCACCAAACACTAGTGCATCTAGTGTTATAAGACAAACACTACTAGACAGAATTATTAGTGAAGGACCTTAATAATCCACTATTATCACAGACAGATGAAATAGACCAAAAAAAAAAAAAAACCAGAACAAAGAAATACAGTTGACCCAGACCTTCAAACAAATGAAGTTAAGCGTTCCACTCAACGACAAACACACATTCTCCTTAGTAATACACAGAACTTTCCTCAAAACAGAATACAAGCCCATAAAGCCTGTGTATGTACAAAAGAATCCAAATTATTCCATCTACACTATCAAATAGCAGCATACTAAAATGAGAAATCAATGGCAACAGAAATTTTACAAACATACAGACATCTAATAACACATTCCTAGCCAGGTATGGTGCCGGCACACCTATAATCCCAGCACCTGGGAAGCTGAGGCAAGAAGACTGCCATGAGCTTGAGGCTAGCCTAGACTATACAGCTGCAGCCCTCACCCCATGGGGGTGCGGGGGGGACTACCAAGAAAGAGAAAAAATACATTTCTGAAATCACATGCAAAATCACAGCAGAAATCAAGAAAGAAATTAAACAATTCCTATAATCAAATACATATTAACATCAGTACCATATAACAAAACCTATAAAACACAAGAAAGCAATTCTAACAGGTAAGTTTATTGCTGTGAATGTTCACATTAGAAAAACAGACAAAGCTCAAATAAATAACCTAATGAAGCATCTCAAGATCCTTAAAAAACAAGGCTGTCTAACCCCATACCTGTTACAAGGAAGGGAATCACAAAGATCAGAGAGGATGTTAATGAAATTGAGACCCCAAAAAAAACAAATCAAGAAAGTGACTCTTTGAAAGAATAAACAAGAATAAACAAGAGACAACCCTAATGCACTAAAAAGCCTAATGCACTAAAAAGAAAGACAAAACCAACATCAATGCAATAAGAAATGGCAAAAGGCAAAACCACAGAAATCACCAAAACCCAAACCTAGACACATATGAATTAGCATAACTGAGCCAAGAAGACATAAAAAACCCAAAGGATGCAGTAATGGCCAAAGAAATTGAGACAGTAATTAAAACACACACACACACACACACACACACACACACACACACACCAAATAAAAAAGGATCAGGTCCTGATGGGTTCACCACTGACTTCCACAAGAACTTAAAGAATATGAAGCCAGTCCTGCACAAACTCTTTAATGAAATTAAAAGCAAAAGAGCACTTCCAAAACCTATTTGTGGAAGCTATCATTAACTCAATTTTTAAAAAGACTCAAACCCAACAGGGAAAAAAATTACTGAAAATTACTCTTTAATGAAAACAAGACACAAAAATCCTCAAGATGCAGGCAAACAGAACGCAATGAATCATCAGATAAGATCTACAGTATGAACAAGCAAACTGCATCCCAGTGATGCAAGGAGGATTCGATATATGCAAATCAATGAAC